TAAGAGCGGTAGACTCATAATCTGGTGAACTGGGTTTGCTTCCCCGCTCCTCCACATGCAGCTGCTGGGTGACCTTGGGCTAGTCACACTTCTCTGAAGTCTCTCAGCCCCACTCACCTCACAGAGTGTTTGTTGTGGGGGAGGAAGGGAAAGGAGAATGTTAGCGGCTTTGAGACTCCTTCGGGTAGTGATAAAGCGGGATATCAAATCCAAACTCTTCTTCTTCATGATTTGAGACCAACCAGCAGATCCCAATCTACCTTCTGCCTTCCCTGTTGTAAGGAATCTAAACCTGTGCTTTGGAGCAGCATCTCTGGGTGAAGAAAAGCTGGACCTTTTGAACATCTGCCTGTCATGGGACGATTAGAGGTGGCAACCGAATTTGGCCCAGTAGGCAGAAGGTGATGGGAAAGTGTGTTTTTTTATGAACTACTCCGTCAGCTCAGTTCCCAGAAAGAGGAAGGCAGAAATGAAAAACCACCCACCCTAATTTTGTTCACTGTAGCACAGGTGAAGTAAAAATTTATGTGTGGTGCAGGGTGGGGAGACGAACAGAGAGCCAGGAAAGATGGGCAGGTAAGACTGTTAAACTGTTACACAGCAAATGTGCCAGAGCAATCTGTTGGTTTCTCTTGGATAATCCAAATGTTCCATATTAATTAAGGGTTGCAACTGTCTTGGAGGCACTGTGTCCTCCCACAAGATGCTATCAGGAGTTGCAACATAGGCATTGTTTAATCCCCTTTTGGCAACAGGTCACTAAAGTTGTGTGTGTGTTTCATGAATCTATGCTCTGGTGACCTCAAGGTTAGATTACCACAATGCGTTATACACAGGGCTGCTTCTGAAGACAGTTCGGAAACTTCACTTAGCGCAGAATTCAGCGGCCAGGTTGCTCACCAGAGCAAGACCATTTGAGCATACACTGGTACCTCGCAAGACGAATGCCTCGCAAGACGAAAAACTCGCAAGACGAAAGGGTTTTTGGTTTTTTGAGTTGCTTCGCAAGACGAATTTCCCTATGGGCTTGCTTTGCAAGACAAAAACGTCTTGCAAGTTTGTTTCCTTTTTCTTAAAACAGTTAATACCCAGGGTGCATTGCTTGAAGAGGTGCAGTTGCACACGGTGTGGTAACTTTTTTTGAGGTTTTTGAAGACTTTGGTGATTTTTGAAGCTTTCCCAAAACTTTTTTTGAAACCGTGCTTCGCAAGACGAAAAATTCGCAAGACGAAAAAACTCGCAGAACGAATTAATTTTGTCTTGCAAGGCACCACTGTATTACACCGATCCTAGTCTGACTGCACAGGCTACCAGTTAGTTTCTGGGCCCAATTCAAAGTGCTGGTTTTGACCTATAAAGCCTTAAACAGCACAAGACCACAATACCTCAAGGTATGTGGTTCACACAATCTGTTTTCTCTGGAGGCTGCAGATCCTGGACTTACAGAGTACAAGCAGTCCCCTTTTCAAGCAAAAACTGTAACTTAGCTGACCACTTGGGCATGTATATTACAGATCTTCATCAGAAATTAAATTACACCGACAGCAACTGGCGCCTCAATTACAGAGGGACAGAGCCAAGTCGCGTATAAAAGGAACAATGTTGAGCCTATAATCTAGTGAAGAAGATGACAATAACAGAGAAGAAAACACCTGTCTTGCTGCAGTGGGGAATGCAGTTGTGGGAGTCTGCATCATGCTTAGCAAGCAAAAGGCATCTCAATATGACAGGTGGCATTTTCTTCTTCTCCTGTAAAATTGTCCTGACTCACCTGCTAGAGTTCAAACAAATACACACTGCTATTTGAAAGGTGGTGAATTTTCCATTTACACTGGCCGATTCGTTTCTTTCCTCCAGTGGCAGAGGTGGGTCAATTCACAGGTGTCACCTGCAACAGAATGTTGCAGCATGAAGTGCTCCTGCGCTTCATTTGAGTCAGGCTATTGATCCACCTAGTTCAGTAATGCCCGCACTGACGGGCAGCGGCTCTCTGGGGTTTTGGAGAGAGTTCTCCCTTGACCCTAACCTGAAATGAAAAACAGAGCAGGAGAGAGAAATGAACTGGAAAAAATGGTTTGTGAACATCACCCTCACTCTCTAGAAAGAGTCTAGAGGCTTCCCCCTTTCTGATGAGATAATGTATTTGTGTTTGAAAGCATTCTTGGTCTTTTGGATTGCCACTGACTGCAACTCTTGTTGTGTTTGCTTGGTTTATTTGGCAGACTCCTTGCACTTGACGGGGCTTGCTTGGCTGCTGCCTACCAACCTCCAGCTACCGCCTTGCATGTCCAAAGAAGTTCACAGACAGCATCTTCAAAAGCAGAGACATCACCTTGCCAACAAAGGTCCGTATAGTTAAAGCTATGGTTTTCCCAGTAGTGATGTATGGAAGTGAGAGCTGGACCATAAAGAAGTCTGATTGCCAAAGAATTGATGCTTTTGAATTATGGTGCTGGAGGAGACTCTTGAGAGTCCCATGGACTGCAAGAAGATCAAACCTCTCCATTCTGAAGGAATCAGCCCTGAGTGCTCACTGGAAGGATAGAGCCTGAAGCTGAGGCTCCAATACTTTGGCCACCTCATGAGAAGAGAAGACTTCCTGGAAAAGACCCTGATGTTGGGAAAGATGGAGGGCACAAGGAGAAGGGGAAGACAGAGGACGAGATGGTTGGACAGTGTTCTCGAAGCTACCAGCATGTGTTTGACCAAACTGCAGGAGGCAGTGGAAGACAGGAGTGCCTGGCGTGCTCTGGTCCATGGGGTTACGAAGAGTCGACCACGACTAAACGACTAAACTGGCCCATTCTCTGGGCAAACTATTGCCCAATCTTGAGCACAGAAATAGAAGAGCGAGAAGGAACACGTTCACAATTCTCTGGCCAGCCTCTATCAATATAGAAAGCTGGTGCCACCATGCTTATGAAGTGGAATTTGCTCTCCTTTTAGATTGTGAGCCAAATATATAATAATTAAGCTTCAAATAAGCATTTTTAGCAGTTATTTCCCCAAGGCAAGCATGCTCCCTTGGAGAAAATTAAAAGTGATGTCAAAACACAGTGACACTATGCTTAGACTTTCGTAGTGTGTGTGCCTCAAACAAGAAGAAGCTTATTGCCTCTGTGCTTAACAAACGAAAGGAGGAAAGAGGAAGGAACATGGAAGAAAATGTCAGGCACAAATTTATAAATAGAAAACATGGCAAAACGCTTCCTTCGGTGCACAGCCAAACTTCACAATGTTTTGATCTGGGGTAGGGGGCGGGGACGAAAGGAGGTGGCAAAAAGCTTCCTACTGGTTAACAAGTTGGGGGAAGAGAAGTGTTATGCAAATTACATGACAGAACCTTGTGTGGAAAACATGGCTAATTATGCTTGCAAAATGGCAAACAATTGCAGCCATTACAGTCAGCACTCGCCTATCAGAAATCCTAGCAGAGTGTAAATAGAGTCATCTGAATTTCTAATCAACCTTTCCCGATTGCATTTCGGGACATGTTTCAAAATGAGTTTAACCGGACTAATTTACCTCACTCGCTGTGCACAGGAAGAGGTGGTGATGTGACATTGCATGGAAAACCGTTTAAGGATCTCCACTCAAAACAAGTCTAGGTCCTAACGAAGCCTCTAAAAACATGGTGTTGATGTTTCATTTAAATTAGGGATCTGTGACCAATAGGTCTGTAGGTCCAGTTTTTCATTAATTGCTCAACATGTGCTAATTGGGGGTTTACACACACACACACAAGACAAAAGGTTCCTAATAAGAACCTAAGATGATCCTTGTGGGATCAGGCCGGTGGCCCATCCAGTCCATCATTCTGTTCTCGCAGTGGCAAACCAGATACCTGTGAGAAACCTGTAAGTAGGACCTGAGCACAGGAGCATTCTCTCCTCCAAAGGTTTCCAGCAACTGATATTCAGAAGCATTACTGTATCCTACCATGGAGGCCTCCTTCGTGGATCACTGCCTTGCCGTGGCGAAGGGGCTTGAATAACTCAGAGAAGCTATGAGCTATGCCATGCCGGGTCACCCAAGATGGACAGGTCATAGTGGAGTTTTGACTAAACATAATCCACCTGGAGCAGGAACCAGCAAGCCACTCTAGTATCCCTGCCAAGAAAACTCCATGGACAAAACCTCCAATACTCTGGACACCTCATGAGAAGAGAAGACTCCCTGGAAAAGACCCTGATGTTGGGATCCCTTAAAGAGGGCACAAGGAGAAGGGGATGACGGAGGACGAGATGGTTGGACAGTGTTCTCGAAGCTACTAACATGAGTTTGATCAAACTGCGGGAAGCAGTGGAAGACAGGAGTGCCTGGCATGCGCTGGTTCATGGGGTCACGAAGAGTCGGACACGACTAAACAACAACAACAACAACCAGCACCGTGGAGGCAGAGCATAGCCAGCATAGCTAGTGGTCACTGACAGCCTTCTCCTCCATGAATTTGTCTAATGCCCTCTTAAAGACACCAAACTTGGTGGCCATCAGTGGCTCCTGTGGGAGTGAGTTCCACAGTTTAATTACATGTTGTGTGAAGAAATGCTTTCTTTTATCTATCCCGAATTGTCCAACATTCAACGCCATTGGGTAGCCATGAATTCAAGTGTTAGGAGGGAGACCCCCCCCAATCTACTTTCCCCATGCCATTATTTTATTTATGTCAATCACCTCCTACTTGCCTTTTCTCTAAATTACAAAGTCTCAAATACTACAACCTTCCCTCACGGTTTCAGAGTGGGACGACCAGACTTGGGTTTGCTGTGCATGAGGTCCTGTGCCTGTTTTACGGCAACACCATCTCTGATGAACCGTAGTCTCTTACACGTCTCAGAAGAGTACTAACGCATTTTCTCCTCCCATTCACGTTTCTTCTAATGCAAGATCTCCAAAACCTTTTATGATGAAAGTGGGATGGGCTGGACAGCTTTAAACCATGCAATCGAGGGACAATATTAGAATACTGTGCTTTTATTTGTAAGTACAAGGTGCACAAGGAAAGTCATAAAGCTTTATTTCTCTGACAAGTGACAGGAATGGAAACCAAAATTAAATATTCAACAATATCACTTCTATAAAGCTGGCAAGAGCTACATGGGTAAAGATGGACACTCTGGGCTGGGGGCCCCCCAAAAATTGTTGTTGTTTTTTTGTGGCTCATCACTCCACAGCCCTCTTGAACATAGGATGCTGACTTCTGCTGTAGCCTCCTTACACTTGGGAAAGATGATGGTGGAACACTTTCTGTTTGCTGAAGCCTGACCCACCTAGACAAAGCTTTAGAAAACCAAGGAGAAGAACAGGACAGGAAGTGGTCATGCTAGTCTCCTATCTAATTACTCTAGCCCCACAATCTACATTTCCATGCAAAAGAAGGTCTGAAAGTTAGGATGCCTGAAAGACAGCCGAAGGTACCCATGAAAGGTAGATGATGTGGGCAGGTCACCTGTTTCTGTTCTACATGCATCCAAATTATTCAAAGTGACCAGGACCTGTTGGGGGGGGGGCAGAAGGTGGAATCAAGAGCACATCATTTGTGATCCTAACAATTAGTACTTGTTCAAATCACACATCCCTTAAAAAAACCACAACTGATTTCTGCTGCTTTTATATTCTACTTTACATACTTATATATGGATGGTCCTTCTAAATCGACAGCAAATTGCACTCGGTGACTCGGTGCCAAATAACTAAGTCCTCCCTTGTAAGAGGAACTGCAGCAGGGTGGGAAAGGGCAGAGCCTGCTACAAAGTGGAAACTTTTCTGTTTTAGAAATAGTATGCTGTATGCGTGATCCAATTGGAAGACTCTTCCTTGGAGCGTTTGGCAGAGCTGTGTGATGTAAAAATAGACTTGTATGCTTCCGATTTCTCTCCTCTGCTTGCGAAGGATCGCTTGGGGCCCTCGGATGAACTTTTGCTGCTTTTTCCAGATGAAGACGATGGACTTTCACTGACTGCTACAGAATGAAGCAAACAGAACACGCGTCAACTTCACCCACAAAACTTGCATGTAGACACACACAAACACCATACTAAAGAAACCTTTGCCAACCTGGTGCCCTTCAGTTGTTTGAGATTGCAACTCCCATAAGCCGCAGTGCACATGGTCAATGGTGAGGGATGATCAACACCCATATTTCTTTAAGGCTTGTTCAAGCTAAAGTAAAGATTAAGTTGCTTAAACTTCTATTTTACACAGCTGGCACTTGGCACCCTTTGGCAGTTGCCAGGATCCAAGCGCTCCAGCAGGTCCACTGCCAGTATCTACACTGGTTCTCCCTTAAAACAATTTCAAATCAGCACCTGGTGGCTAGGTCTGGAAGCCACCAATTATCTTCTCAAAAGAGTCCAGAGTGATGCTGCGCTGTAGGAAATGACAGTGATAGTTCTCGAACCCAGTTGCCTGTCGCAGATCAGAGTCCTGCTGCTCCTGCCACCAAATAACCTTACCAAGGCCCACCAACACAGGAGGGCCAAAGAAGAGGGCACTTTGTTTAGGGTCCCCCCCCCTCAAACTGGAGCCAACCTTGTTGAAATCATGCAACAACTGGAACAGTTGGTTTTGTTAAAAACACGGACACCAAAGGACGGCTCACAAACAGTTGGAAGTCCTGAAATCGGGAGGGGGGGTGTTGTTTTTTTAAGTAGTCAGCACAACTAGACAGGACATGGCTCATGGAAGCTCTTAAAAAGGTAAAGGTACCCCTGCCCGTACGGGCCAGTCGTGACCGACTCTGGGGTTGCGCGCCCATCTCGCTTAAGAGGCCGGGGGCCAGTGCTGCCCGAGGACACTTCCGGGTCATGTGGCCAGCGTGACGAAGCTGCTCTGGCGAGCCTGCACCAGCGCAGCACACGGAAACGCTGTTTACCTTCCCGCTATAAAGTTGTACCTATTTATCTACTTGCACTTAAGGGTGCTTTCGAACTGCTAGGTGGGCAGGAGCTGGGACCGAACGACGGGAGCTCACCCCGTCGCGGGGATTTGAACCGCCAACCATACGATCGGCAAGCCCTAGGCGCTGAGGTTTTACCCACAGTGCCACCCGCGTCCCAAAGCTCTTAGGCCTTGCAAATAAGAGAGCTATATTGCACCCACAGCTAGTCCACAAAGACCAAGCTCAGGGAAGCATCTCAAGCCAGCTCACCAATTTAGTGGGGTAGGAGAGCTGGGGGGGGATCACATCTGGCAACCAATGCACCCCTTTGGTTTCAGGACAGTTCCCGGATAGATGAGTCTAAAAAGCCTGGAACACAAATTTTCACAGCCCTCTAGTGGCTATGGTGGCTCATTTACCAGAAGTAATGTATTTAGCATTAACCCTGGAAGTTTATACTCGATTCTGACTAAACTAAGCCTCCTAGAACAAAAGATGTGAACTGTATTGGCATTATTTTCAGCTCCCTTCCCCCGCTAATTTCAACAACTAAGCTCAGTGTTTGAGAATCTTGCTTTGCATGCAAAAGATCCCAGGTTTAAGACTCTGCATCTCCAGGAAGGATTGAGACTGGAACCCTGGAGAGCCACTGACAGCCAGCGTGGACAATATTGAGCTAGATGCACCAACAGGCTGACTCAGTACAAGGCAGAGTCTAATGTTCCTAGTGTTAACGTTGGTTATGGCTGGCATAGAAACAATTGACCATGGTTAAAGGCAGCAGTGGAAATGCGAGGGAGGGGTGAATTCATTCAACAGGCAAATGACGGAGAGCCTGCCATTCCACGGCTCATACGCAGCCCTCATCTTTCCACGAACAGATGGTCCCAGTTATAGCTGCACCAGCTCAAAGTAGAGTTTTAGGTGAACATCTGGCTGAAAATGGCTAATAAAGGATTATCCACAATATTACTGGATGCAATGTCATGAAACTGCATGGAAAATTTTATACGAACCTGTACTCTTGCAGAAGGCAATGCTTCTATTTTCTCCGGATTTCATGTTTGCTATATCCTTTTCAGTATTTACTTGAGATGATGTAGGCAAATCTTAAAAAAACAAAAACCCACATAAACAGGAAGACAGAGAAATTAAAAAGAAAAGAGATGGAATCTGCATCCTATTAAAATCAATAGCAAAAGAGAACAGTGCGATCAAAAGTAATTAAACTATAAAACTTCACCAAAAAAACCAATAAAACTTCACTCAAGAGTTGGACCAATTAATGATCAACACAGAGAGAGTTGCCACTGAAAAGGACAGTTGTGTATTTAGTTCCCTTCAGTCCCTTTCTGCATTGCCTTCGTGACCCCATGGACCAGAGCACGCCAGGCACTCCTGTCTTCCACTGCCTCCTGCAGTTTGGTTAGGCTCATGTTTGTAGCTTCAAGAACACTGTCCAACCACCAAGGCATAAGTTATACTAAATGTTGCACAGATAGGGGGGAGTGTAAATAAATGGCTCACTGCATCAGCACCTGTGTACTTAATTAACTGCCAGGTTAGCAGAAGCTTTGTGGCAGGGAATGGCTAAGTTTTAAGTGCAAATTCTGCTTAGCAGCTTAACAAGCTTGTTTACTGCCAAGAGCTGACGCTTTGAAGGCATGGGTTGTTGATGGCTCGTGAACCCTAGTTTGTTTTAACTATGACTTGGCGTTACATGTGAACTCAGCACACTTCCTTAACCATGGTTAGGTCTGGACTCTGTACCTCAGGCGCTTCACAAATTCCAAAGGCATGGAAAACAAATCAAATGTTGGAGAAACAAGCCACTGTTTGTTTGATCCTTTGTGGGACAACGTGGTTAACTCATGATTTGTTTCAAAAAACAAAATTGCCTGAACAAACCATGGCTTCATGTTATGTGTGAATCTGGCCAATATTTTGTAAGCACAAGGTCCTGTGAAGTCCATTCCAACTATATTTGCCCCTTTGTGCGATCTACCTACAGGCTCCTTGTTTTATTTTTTCTCCCTTTAAAAATGGGGGTGGGGGCAGAGGGAGAAAATCCATTAAGTGAGAAAAGCATTATTGCAGGTTAGTTATGTTTATCACTTTTGTTTTTCCTTAAAGGGATATTTAGTTCATAATGTGCGCCCACCTTTCTATTTACTGTTACTCCTTTTTTTACAGTTTCTAACTTATTTATGTCAAAACAACATGCAAAACGGCCTTTTAAAAGAACACAGCGGCATAGGGATAGGGAAAGGTGATCCATCACTGGAACTAGCCAATAGGGGTGTATCATATTTGCATGGCTACTGCAGATTTCATGAATCAAACCAGAGGTCTAGCTGCAGGGGTGGGGTGATCCTAGCAACATAATACCATTGTCTGTGTGCTGGGAAAAGGTGGTTTCTCTGCAAAAGCAGTGCTAACTTGAAGGAAAATGTGTGGGTTCTGGCCAACAAAGGTAATAGCTGCACAGTTACTGCACTGAAAATAATAGTAATCTGGAATAGCACTTTGTTGCGTCAGCACATGGACACAACCTTACCTTCAGCAGCTTCAGGTTTCACAGTGGTCTCCGCTGCCTTAGATTTCTTGGATTTCTGGAAGCAATGGAGACAAACATGAGTGACAACTGTGTTGGCAACAAATCCACCAGTTCCATTGGCACAAATTTGCCATAAGGTTACTCAGTGCTTTTTTCATATTACATCGCTAGACAATCCAATCCACTCACACAATTCAGTGCCCACTTTGTGCTCCCTTAAAAGTGGGCATATAACGTGCAAAGGGCATATAACGTGCAAAGGGAGCAAACTGTATGAGAGACAGAATAATCCCTGAAGAGAAAGGCCATGCTTATCTGCCTGCAGGATCAAGATGTTTTGAAAAATAGCCTGACTCTGATCCTTGAAACTAATCATCCTTGAGAGATGGAGAGATATGTTCTTTCTTCCATTATCCACAGAATTAAAATTAACCCAACACTCCATAGGGGCTGCCTGTCTCCTTTGGAAATCTCAGCTGGCTAGCTGTTTGAAGTCCCTTTTTAATATTGTTTAAAATAATCTTATTTGAGATCCAGTTAATAGTCTGGGAGCATCTGAGGCTGCAGCATTGCCAAAGCTAAGCAGGTGTGGACCTAAGCAGCCCCTTGAATGGGAAAAGCACAGCGAGTCCTACATAAGAACATGAGAGAGAGAGAGACAGACAGGCAGACATTAATTACACCCACCATTAATTATGGTTAGACAATGAGCCCTTTCACCTGATGAATTGGGATGTTGACAATAAAAAAATATTGCCACAATAAAAATTAGCGCTGGATGGCCCAGCAATATTACAGGGGATTGAAGTGAAGACACCCCAAACAATGTTAGAATGCATCAGGCCTGCTCAATTTCGGACTCGCCAAGCTGGATGCAGACCACTAGCCATGTTGTGGCTTAGGAGGTGGCAGATAACTGCCTTCTTTGTGCAGCCTTAGGCAGGCAGAAAAAGCAGGACACTATGAAGCACTTAGTGGGTTCCATATGCAGCTGATGGTCACCAGTTTGCACAGATCTGCTGCATACATTATTAGCTGCAAGAAAGGCACTGATTCCACTGAGCTATTCCCTTTTCTGCAGATTACCCATGTCTTCCTGGAGGTGGCAGCAATGTATCAGACCTTCCTGCGCAGCAGTTATAGAGGCAACTAAAGTCTTGCAACTAAAGTACATGTGGTAGGAAGATGCTACTAGGGAAGGAGACCGATATATTTTCAAATAATTTTTATCCTCAAAGGCGGCTCTCAGGTAGCTTTAAGATTGCTACAAGTCCCTGCCAAATGTTGCTGGTCTCTCAGCTGTACCTATAAAGGAACCCTGCTTTGCTTTGCTTCTCTTTCCTAATCCCAACACAGATATGCCTAGCAGTGTTATATGCTTATTTGGCATCAAGCCTTCAGCATGAAAAAAAGCTCTGCCCTAATTTTAGTTTGAAACATGAACGCTGCTTGCAGAATGGCATGTTTGATTTACTACAGTATCATGTTGAATAGGAAGCCAGATTCAAAACGGAAAGGAGGCCCTTGCAAGAGGAAGTTCTCGTTGCAAGCTATTTTAGCACACCAGCAACACCCTCAGAAGGTAAAGATAGAACTGTGGTTGTTATATTGATGAGTACAATGAGGATCATTAAGGCCATGAGGGGAGGGATCTACGTAAATGAAGGGATACTCTGTACATTGCAGAATGTGTGTACGTACTGGTGCATCTACATGCTTGTGAAGTTTAGAATTAGGGGGTTAAATGAACTTCACCCCGGATCAATGGATGCAGTGCAAATGTGTGAGTAGTTATCATGTAGCTTGGACCATGTTGATTGGTTTTACACTTTCCTATCCCTAACAGTGAGAAGTGGATGGGGTAAAATGTAAAACATAAACTACGTCAAGGAAGAGTGACAGTTCTGCTTAAGAGCAGCTGGATAATGGAACAACTGGGTACTGATTTGAAAAGGAAAACCAATGGGTTTATTTATTTTGATGACAGCATTTGTGGAAGGAAGGAAGGAAGAACTATTTCCATGTGAAAGAAGAGCTGGATTAAATTAGTGGCAAGGCCAAAGAAATTACTTATCTCTGATCTAATTAAAAATTACTAACGAGGGCTGAAATTGAAAAACAACAAGCTGTACTTGATAAAAAATTTTGGTGGGATTCAATGAGCTGCACCTACAGTTTTATGCTGGGGGCTTTGGGCACTTTAACAGGAGACTGACCCCCTGCCACCATGGAGAAGGTTTTGAAAAAGCTGTTTGTAATAAACTCTGTTCCTGAAGTATCCCATAAATGCACGTGCAAATACATCAGAAAATGCACAAAGCTCTTACCTTCCCCAATTTACTCTTAAGCCTTCTCTCCTCCATTCTTTTCTTCAGCACTTCTACATCCTCTTTTGTACCGTTAAGTACAATCACGTCATCGTCTTGAAAAGAGGCTCCACACTTTCATGAGGAAAGGGAAAAAAGGTTAACAAGGCTTTATATTTTTATGACCACATACGGGCAATGTAATGTGTTGAATGTACATAAAAAAGGGAGGGCACAAGCTACATCATCCACATTAGGAGTGTTTTGCTTCGCTACAAAATTAAATTACAATTCAAACATGCATATTCTGCTTCCTTCCCCCTAGTCAGATTTTTATCCTCTCTGCCATTTTTGCAATAAGCCTGTGTCTTGACTGAGAGGATTGCTTAATTCTTTATTTCATAGAATCAGAGAATTGTAGAGTTTGAGGGTACCCCGTGGGCCATCTAGTCCAACCCCCTGAAATGCAGGAATCTCAACTAAAGCATCCATGACAGACGGCCATCCAATCTCTATTTAAAAACCTCCAATGAAGGAGAGCCCATCACCTCCTGAGGGAGTCCATTCCACTGTCTAAGTGATCAGTTTGTAAGCAATCAAGGTACTTGCCAAAGTACATATAGGATTGGATCCAGACAGGATTAACCACATTCTGGGCCACAACAAAATCAATCTGAAAAATTAGTCACAATAAACCGAAGCACCATTGATTTCTAGGGCAACTAGCTTAATGTGGACTCTATCCACAGGCCCCACTCCAAAAGCAAGTTAGTAGTTTAGCCAACTGCTGTCACTTTGAAATTAATGAGAAATAAGTAAGTTGCAACCAAATTGTGCTACTGATTGCAAAAGGATGCAAATGTGACTGATTTGCTCCCTCTGGATTGGGGCCGTGCGTTCCATTAACTCAGCATGGATTTTATCCTCCCCCCCCCCCCCCCGTGATTTTATACGGCATAAAGCAGGGTGGGCTAACCTCCTGCTCAGGGGCCTGATCTGATCCACTGAGCAATTTTTCTGAGCTCCAAAATCACAGCGCTTTGATAGCAGTAGCAGAAAGGAAATAGAGGAGACACGGGCTAGGGTGGAAAGAGGCTTATATCCCCTCCGTTCAGCTGAGGGTGGTGATGCCTCTGTGTCTGCGAGATACTGCATGGTGACCACACTCCCTGCTGGCATGCAGCCCTGGAAGGTTGGGCTAAGGGCGATTGTTGCCCTTGGGCAAAAAAGATTAGCTACTCTTGGCTCAAAACTATTTACCGTATTTTTCGCTCTATAACACGCACCTGACCATAACACGCACATCGTTTTTAGAGGAGGAAAACAAGGGAAAAAACATTCTGAATGAAACAGTGGATGTATCATTTTTGTGCTTCATGCTGTGGCCACAGACATGTGATCTGATGGTGAATTTGGGGTGACCCAATGCAAAAATCCTGAGAATCCCTGTGGATCCATGCTTTGTAACCACGTTTTTGCACAATTGCAGCCCCAGGCAACAGTGGGTGCGTGATTTTTTGGGTGCAGGCTGTAGCCATGGACATGCTATGTGATCTGATGGTGAATTTGGGGTGACCCAATGCAAAGATCCTGAGAATCCCTGTGGATCCATGCTTTGTAACCACATTTTTGCACCATTGCAGCCCCAGGCAACAGTGGGTGCGTGCTTTTTTTGGGTGCAGGCTGTAGCCATGGACATGCTATGTGATCTGGTGGTGAATTTGGGGTGACCCAATGCAAAGATCCTGAGGATCCATGTTGATCTATGCTTTGTAACCACATTTTAAGTGGGGAGCGAAGGAAAAACAAAGAAGGGACATGAGAGGGGTGTGCAGAGAAGCAGCTGGCTAAGAATGCTGGAGAGGGATTTAACGAGTGGGAGGAAAGAAAGGCAAAAGTTCCCCCCCAAGCCAGCCAGCCATCTCTCTCTCTCTCTCTCTCTCTCTCTCTCTCTCTCTCTCTCCCTCCCTCCCTCCCTCCCTCCCTCCCTCCCTCCCCCCTCTCTCTCTCCCTCTCCCTCCCCCCCTCTCCCTCTCCCTCCCCCACTCTCTCTCCCGCTCCCCCAGCAGCACCGGAGCACAGAGAGGAATTAGAAAGAACGGCACTCTGCTTGCCTGGAGGGGAGGGGCTTTCCCTGCTCTTTGTTCCATTTCAGCAAACACAGCAAGGAAACAGAGGAGGGTGGGCAGTAAGACCCTGAGGCAGAATGCAGGAAAGCTGCCACTTCCTCTTTTCAGGTTTCCCTTCTCCGTGACTCGCGATTTGACTTTTGCTTGATTTTTTGGCTCCAGGGACCACACATTCGCTCTATAACACGCACAGACATTTCCCCTTCCTTTTTAGGAGAAAAAATCTGCGTGTTATAGAGGGAAAAATACGGTAGTTCATTACATTCTGTCCTACCCTTCCTTTACTGAATTCAGAGTAGTCAAAAGAGGACACCGCGTTCTATCCTGAGAAAACATGGCTGGGGAGGTTAGGAAATAGCCATTTTACTGGTGTATTTAATGATGTCATTATATTTGTTATATCTCTTTATCTTTACTAGAACCTTAAGAAAAGAAAACATGACTTGGCTGAGACCATCTAGCTGGCCAACCCAGGATTTGAACCCAGGTCTTCCCAGGCCTGATTCTGTCCATGATGCGGCACAGCTTCTCAACTGGAATTCTACACCGTAAGGTCTAGTAATTTTTACAAGGTGAATATTGAAAAGCGGAAAATGGTACTTTGTTCAAGGAGAAGCAAAATGCAATTGCAAAAACACAACAACACAATAATTTAATAGTTCACCTTTCTCCGTAAATTCAGAGCAAAGAAAGAGAAGTATCTAGGTGTAGCGGCATTGTGCCGCAAAGGTGGGGGGGAATATCAGAATTTTATTGCTTGCATTTGTTCTAAACATCCACGATGAAAAAATGTGTAATTAATATATTTCTAAGGGGGAAACCCCCCAACAGTCTTGCCTTGTCAGAATCAGAATAAGATCTGTCCAGCCATGAGACATACAAATTTGAATACAAGAACTATGCGTATCTAAAAAGAACCAATAAAACAACATACAAGTCAACGGACTGTTATGCTAGTGAAATTGGAATAAAATCGCAGAGAAGCCAGGTGTCCATCCCATAATTAACAGCATCCTCACCCATGAATTTTTCATGGCATTTCATAGCAGCCAGAGCTTAAGGAGCCACAATACCAGATAGAATTATTGTTTGCCAACAGCTAATCTGACTTGTCTGGCAGCTATTTATAGCAAAGTCTACAAGATTACAGATCTATACCAATATATTTTGATCTTGTACACAACAATTCCCCGAGCAGCAGGGAAAGAAAGCAGAGTCTTACTTACAGCAGCAGCAGCATTAAAAAAGGAAAAGCCTTAGCCCTATGAAAAGTTGCCCCAAACAGCACTGACTCAGGGCTTTAAAACCAAGGAGACATACACTGCTAATAAACAGATATGCATAGGAACCACATCCTGCCCCCCTCTGACCAAAGATGCATTTAGTTCAGCCTTCATCACTCTGGTACTCTTCAGGTGTCTTGAATTACAAGTCCAGTAATTCCTGACCAACAGCTATTCTGCCTGGGGCTGAGAGGCTGAAGGCAGCTGGAACACAACAATAACTTCAAGGTACCAGGTAGGGACAGGCTGGTGTTGCTTTGTGTTATAATAATGCATATTTATTTGAAACACACTAGGTAGTTATACAGAATCGACACATTGCAGGCAGCTCAGGTTTTCAATCTTTTCTAATCCTTATGGCTCCGAAATTGAACTGAGAGTCTCCAAGCAATAACGCCTTGCAAAAATCTCAGAAGCTGGGGATGTGGGGCCACTTCCTAGGACTGCTGGTGACTTGAGGACAAGGCTTCAGTACAGCTACTTGGAATGATGCAAAAAAAAAAAAAAGTAGCTTGAATTTTGCAAATTCGCAAAAAAAGGGTTGGGGGTTTGTTTGTTTTTGGAAGAATCTATCTTTTGTTATTACATAATTTAAATATTTAGAGGGTGGGAATAGGTGGAGGTAAAGGCTCATGCCTCCTAGGTTTGGAGCTTCATTGGGAAAAGGCGCAGGAACAATGGAAACTGCCTTATTGTCATCCAGACAATTATGACCAGCTAGCGGCTTTAGCCAGTGCTGCCCTATTGGCTGGAAGGGGTTCTACAAAGTCTCTGGCAGAGGTCTTGCCCATTACCCGGTACTTGATCCTTTCCCCTTTACTTTTCTTCTTTCTTAAAAACTGGAGGTGCCAGGGATCAAACCTGGGATCTCCTGCATGCAAGCAGAAGGTCATCTGAGACAAGCACAGGTGTGTGATTCATCAGGATGAACTGAGAGTTACAAATGATGGCAACATATTCAATGAACTGAGATGTAAATTAACAGCACACTCTTATGCATATCACCTGAGAAGAAAGTGCAACTGAGTTCAATGGGGGGTTCCCCCCCCTCCTGAAGGTTGCAACTTAAATCATTACTAATTGAAGCTTTTGCATACTCCTGTGTCCCAGCACTAAGGGAAGAGTTACATTTCCAAAACACATGCATCCAGAGCTCTTTTTCCTCCAACTGCCAGTTCTGCTGAATCATTAATAGGATCTCAATTTGTTGTAGCCTTTAGCTCTCCGTTTTGTTGCCCTTTCTCAGTTTCACTAACCTTGGCATACAATTAGTAAGGCAAAACCACACGAATACTGGTCCATACACTACAAACTGGGACAGAGGATGTTGTTGTTGTTGTTGTTGTTGTTGTTGTTGTTAAGCATAAAACATACACAATACGGGACAACTGTTGACAGGCGGAATTGGAAAAATGTTCCAGGCACAAAAACCAGTAGGGAGAAAGCATGGAAGAGACTGTGGGAAGAGTGGAGAACTGGGTGGATAGGAGATGCACAACTGGTGATGCCATTGAGAGGTGAAAGCAGCCCACCTGAAGTCTGGATTTGGATTATATTATAAAATAACAAAACGCTGGGCTTTCCCTCCAGGAAAGGGAATTTCAAAAGTTGCTGACCTTCTCAGAACTGAAAGGGGATCAACAGCACAGGTTTGCTGCAGGCTTCTTTGCTATTTGCACCTGTCTCTTGCTATCTACTATCTCATTTAGACACAAAATCCTCA